ACGGCGATATGGAATATGTCGACAGAGCTTCAGAATAGCAATATCTTAACGCAAACGTGCACATTTTAAGCGAAATAGGGACATCTAACATAGCGCGTTGGCTCAATTAACTCGGCAAAAATTGTCTTTTGAGAGATAAAATCATCAGAACAATCACAATATGTTGACATATTACCAACTTAATATTGCGGTATCTATCGCGCTATTGACCTCTATACGCTTCCATGCGTATGTCATTTGATATTTACCACGAATGTTTTAAGATAATAATACATAGCAACAATCACAATTCAAGTCATATAATATTCATATCACCAGCAACATCACAATTCCCGTTACGAATTTTTCAAATTCCCTATAGGTAGTATGCTTGACGTGATTTAATAGAAAAAAATACAACAATGTCGATATACAGCTACTCCTCTTTTCGGCATAGCAAAAAGTATTTCTTTTGTAGCTATAAAAGTACCTTTCTGTTACACAAAATATATGAATTATTAATTTGTGCGAGTGAACCGTTTAAAAGGGTACATGTAAATATATATCATGACGTTGAATGGAATTTGGAGTGACAATCAAATGGCTGCCAAAGTAGGATCTATGTAAATGAAATTAACCGAAGGTAGTGCAACTTATTGAGATTTTATCGCTGCAGTGTAATCATGCTGAATGTTGTGAAACGTATTGAGATTTTATAGTAACTGAGTATAAAGGGTATTTTAGTGGTTAAAGATGCATTATTTAATAGCTAAATTTGCCTATTGCAGATCTTTCCTTTGGCCTCAAATATTATGTAAATCATTTATGTAACATTTATTTACATTCCAGGCCCATAATCAACTTCGGATGGTTTTGATTTGTAGCAGATTTATGATAATGAAGTAATTTGACGGAATTTTTCAACATATTCCCTTGTCTAAATTTTAAACTATTATCGCGAGAACTGCCAGCTCTTTATCTAACTCTTGTATAATGTATCTTTAACTTCCCTTATTGATCACCATGCCATGCTATATTAGTTGCCAGTATCTGTTGTTATGCATCAATAGATATATTTGAATTATAATAATTCAGAGACAGCAAAGTGAACTCGATGAAATCAAGTATATATGATACAAATGGCAATTATAACTCCTAAGGAGTATATGTCACGTCACGTCACGTCACACCTTGTCACATCAGCAATCAAGTTACACCATAAATTATTGAGTATAGTAACATCAAATACCTAATTAAGTGAAAAGACTTGTCATTTTGAACTCTTAATAAAACTGGAAGTTATACTTCAGGACCACACTTTTTGATATTAATTGTTAGTAGACATCATATATGCAAAGGTCAAGGGTCATTGAAAGATGAGGTTACCAGACAGAAGTTAAAAAGTCGAACATAATTCAAAGTGAAAGCGGAAGTAAACGAAATCAATATTCAACAATCAGGTTCCTAAGAATTGTTGCCATTTGGAGTAGTTCGAAACAAAAAAAAAAGGTTTTCGAAAATATCGATTTGAAGGTTTTTTTTGTAAAATCCAATATATCGGCCAAAAGGTTAAAAATCTTATGGATCAAGGTCTCTGAAAATGAAAGATATTTTCTGGGGCTAAAAGATTATCATATGTCATTTTCGGTCTATTTTTAAAATGGAGAGAACTATTCATGTTTGAGAAAAATCGGAAGGACTCGGAAATTTCCAAAAGTTTCATGAAGCCGTCACAAATAAATTGAATATGCCATTTTGAAGGCCTCGATGTGTTCTTTATTCCTACCAAGTTTCAACTTAATACCTCAAATAGTGACGGAGGTACGCCATCTTGAATGTCGAAAACATGATAAAGAAAACTTTCGCAAATCTTTGATGCTAAATCTAATCGAGCGAACTTCCGAATTTCGAAAAACTGTCAGTCATAGCCCATATTGAATTCCCCAAAGGAATCCAAAAATGAAAACCCGAAGAAGATCCATTGAGAAATAACCGAGATATGGGCAATCTGAGGTTATTTTTTGTCCCATTCGTAAAACACTTCCTGTTTGTCAAAAGTGACCTTATTTATATTTAATATTTAGTTGTACGGAGGCCAACGGTATCTACGTAAAACCGGAAGTAAACAAAATCGAAATTAAAAAATCGGCTCCCTAAGGATTGTTGCCATTTGGAGCAGGTTCGATACAACAAAGTTGTCAAAAATCGAAATTAAAATGGCGGCTGAATATCGACGTTAGCAAAATGTTTGCACCATGTACAGTTTTGGCTGCACAAGCTGACTAAATTCCACAAAAAATAAAAAAAAAAAAAAAATAAAACACTTACAGAAACGATACGTATTTCGACCGAAGGTCCGAAGCTCTTACGATAAACAATACGTCAGCTAATATTCTCGGTTTATGTGATTCACCATGTAACAAATATTAGTATTTATTTAATTTTTAGTATTTTGTAAGATTATGGAACTTTTACAAATGAAATAAAAATGAAATGGGTTTTAACCTTCTACTGTTTTACTCCCGCTGGGCTAATGAAGTCGGGCATACGACATGCAGTGTGCTATGAGGGAAATGTTGCGCGGACAACGGCGCTTTGGCATACACTTATAAAGCCCCCGTCAGACCGGGGCGGCGTCCTTACTGCGCTGCTGCGATCGTACGGCCACCAGAAAATGCACAAGGTCGTCGATAAACGTGAATACAACGCAAGAACATGCCCCAAAAAATTACAAACTTGAAAAAAGTCGCCTCCTCACAGCTTTCCAGGTCAGATCGCAGAACCTTGGCGTTTGTTTTGAACATGCTCAAAACCAACCCCGTGACTCGGCGATCATTGGAGACCACGGAGACCACAGCACGATATCTGGCGTTTCCATGACGCTTTTACCACGCTACTGACGATCTTGAC